TTTGGAAAGAAGCATGACTTCCAGAGAGCATCACTACCTCCCTGATCTGCGTTATTAACATATGCCCCTTCTCTAAATCCCCACATGATGAACAACAGAAGATAAAGTAGATAGATTTGGCAGATCAAAAGGGGCCATGTAGGTCACAGTGAGGAATTTGAAATTTATTCGAGGAACAATGAGAAGTAACTGGAAAACCCAAAGGAGGATAATGACATGATTGTGTGTTTTAAAAAGACCCTTCTGATGATGATGTGGAAAACACTAAGAGGAGGAAGAAAGGCAGCAGGAAGATTGTGGCTGCACTACCCTGGTTACAGTGAAAATGGAAAGGAATAGGTTTGGGGTATATTTTGGAGATAGAGGTGTCAAGATTTGCTGGATTGAATGTAGACGGGGAGGGAAAGAGGAGAGTTTTACAACGACTTCTAGGTTATCAAAACTTCAGCACCTGGGGGAATAGAGGAGGCAGTCACTGAGATTGGAAGATTGGTGGGGGATAGGTTTGCATGGTGGAAATGAAATGTTTTATTCTAGCCATATCAAGTTTGAAAAGGTGATTAGCTATCCATGAAGAGATGTTAAGTAGGTGGCTGGATATGTCAGCTTAAAGCTCAATGAAGAGGCCAGGGTTAAAGAGATATATTTGGTTCTTATACTGGTTCCTTTGACCTTTAGCCTTAAACTTCTATTCCTTGTTTCATCCACATTGGGCAGTAGCTCTAGATTACCCATATGTTAGATAATGATATTAGCATCCTTCTCCTCTTCTACTTCCCATCTTCTATCAACTGTGTATTTACTTTTCTTATTAAAGCTGCTAACATACATTCTGTTCTGTAATTATCTTTAAACTTTCCATATTGTGTCATAGATTGAGCCTAAAAGTTGAAAACTACTAAACAGCATTTATAATATTACCTAATTACATGAATTTTGTTCACTTCAGGGCTAAATATTGTGCTAGGACTTCATTTCCGTCTCACTAGGTCCAGTGCCCAGTGTCATATGAAAAAAAAAAAGGTTCTATTAATAGTATCCATGCCAAATAATCCTCTTTTCTGGGTTAAATTATTTCCCCTGAGAACTTTAAAGACATTAACTCCATTGCGCCATTGTGCCCTTGCATCAGTGCTGCTTGATTCCGTATTGATTCTTTTTTTTTTTCCCATATTGATTCTTATTCCATAGATGGTCACTTATTTTTCTTTCCCTTTATGGAAACTTTTAGAATCTTCCCTATATGATTGCTGTTTTGCAACTTCATAACAATATGTAGATATGTATCTTTTTTCCCTTCATACTTGGAAGCACTCAGTAGGCTCTTTCAATGCCTTTTACATAGGGAAACTTTCTTCTTAATTTAGAGGCTGTGTAGAGTAGTGGTTATGAGAGCAGGTGCTGGAATCGGGCTCTCTGGGTTCAGATACCAATTATTCACCACGTAGCCTTGGGCAAGTTGTTTAAACTCCATGCTTGCTTTTGAAGGAGTTCAGAACGCACCACCTCAAAATTTGCCACTCTAGCATATTGACTATATTGAGTTAAAGGCACTTGAAAAACAGCAGATGCAAGAAAAACATTCTGACCTTCCTTCTATTTTTTAAAAGCAGGAGATGA